TCATATCAACAATGTTCTCCTTGACCTGTCATAATTTTCTAATTTACGGTAATTTAGTATTTAAAATGAATGACTAGAAACTGTTAAAGATTTTTTAGTTCACGCCATTTCGAGAAATTTATATAAATTATAAAATTCTCCTCGTTTATTTATTTTTCTCCATGTACATCACGGAGCATATTGGTACAGATAAAACCCATGAGTGCGTGTAACAGGTTTTGGTTTTAATAGGTATGGTATTAATCGTGGTGTGTTAGCACTGACCAGTGTGAATAGACCCTTACACTGCTCATTGTGAAAATTCTAGTATACTCGTAATTGTTTAAATAGATTTCAAAAAATTAATAATATTTCGAATCATTATAGCATTTATATCAATTATTTGGCATCGGCATAAAATGTTTATATATTAGATTTTAAATGAATATCTTGTGTAAATTATAATCTTTACTAATGTAAATAAATATATAAATAGAGCATCGAGCATCAAAAACGGGTCAACTTTTTGTCAGCTAATTGATAAATTAACCGATTCGTTCTTTCATCCGTATTCTATATACGTACGCATAAAATGTATCTTCATGTATTATTTAAAAAATAAATTGAGCATTTTTTACGCATTAAAAAGATGCAGAATTTATAAGACAAAATAAATATAGAAGTTATAAAGGAATCACTCATAACTATTTATCACGTAAAATTGTATGAAAAAATTGAGCCCTTTTTTTTCGAAGCATTTCTATGGAGATACTCTATCTATATAATTTAAGTATAAATGTGAAAGTAAGTTTATTTGCTGGTTATCTCTTAACGCTTTAAAACCTTAATCAATCACTTCGATCGATCAATCAATTCAATCAATTTGGTATTCATATAAAATATGAGATGAAGAAAGACATAGGCTACTTTTTATTCTTTTCAGTATACATATTCTGATCACACGGACGACGTCACGGGTAAAAGCTAGGAATTGATAAAAAAAAAAACACATTATTAAACAGCACTTCGTAATAAAGTTATCTTATCATGAGATTAATCGTTAATTTAGTGAATTGAATCCGGTCCTTGGCAACAAAAAATGACACTTTATATCTAAGTATTAGAGTTCATCCGAAGTCTAACAAAGTCAAGACGAAGGTTGAACTTTTCTATCAGTTGAATGAACTCAGAGTCGTATATATGAATTTATTGTTCCATAATATCACGATTATAGATGTTTGCACACGAGTGGTTTTAAATTGGCTACAAGACATTTTCTCTCTTACTTTGAATTAAAGTAAATATACGAATGCTTATGACAGTTGGGTGGCGATTCAATTTATTTGATACTCGCGAGTCATACAAAGTTATATTGCATATATTCTTAGTTTCTTTGAAATTAAAAAAAAAAAAAGATTAGTAAATAATTTTCTATAATAATTCTTATTTGATCTAAGATAATTGTATTATTAAATTTTATTCGAATATGTATGTTACGTCATTTATACGTGCTTGACAATATCTTATAAATTATTGTTAAACCAAAAGTGTCCCATCATCCATTAGTTACTGCATTATGTCTCCTTGAGGTTTGGTCAAAAAATATTCCAAACGAAATCTAAGTTTAAAATATATATACTAGCTTTTACCTTCGATTCCGTTCGCTTGAGCAGGATATGTTTACTGATTGAGATAAAAATAATATATATATATATATATATATATATATATATATATATATATATATATCTTTACGACACCCGTGGAAAAGAAGGTAGCCTTTTCTATGGCGAGACCATACGGCGAATTAGCAATGATATTAGTAATTAAAAGAGAAACTTTAAAAGCGTAAATATATTTTCCTCGTGCTAGAAAATCTTTACAAGCACGAGTTTGTTTTACAATATTAATTTTATAAGTCAACGAACTGCAAATGTGAAATGAAAGTTCAGATAGCGGATTAACAAACATACGTATATACTGTACATTATCATACGTGGGTGAATGCAAAATCTAGTTAGATTTCATATTATCATTAGTAGATGTGAGAACATACGAATAGCTCTTATATTAAATGACTAAATGTACTGTACTTAGTAATATGTAGTAAATATATTTATATATGCTGTGTGGTATAGAATGAGTCACCTCTACTTTCTTGTAGGTGTCGCAAGAGACTGTACAAAAGTCGATTGCTTGTGTACCTCTGTCCCATTCGTGTTTCAACCGTGAAGCAGTTGTGTTTGCATGGCTGTGTTTCGGTTTGAAGGGTGGGATATGGCGTAAATTTACAGGGTATAGAGGAATAACACCTGAGTCCTCAGGAATGGCAACACATGGAGGGTATCATGGGCGAAACAGTATACTCTGTTACGTCCATGGTACTGCTCATGTCTATAGGTAACGGTTACCACTATATACCACTATATATATATATACCATCAGGTGGGCCGTCAGCTTGTTTGTCATTCTAAGTTGTATAAAAAAAAAGTGATTAAGGGAACTTAAATGGATGGACAGTAGCATCCTTCTTAAAATATCAAAAAACTCTAACTACGGTTGCGAACATGCCTGCTAAGCGTGGCAGTTACAGATAAAACCATTAGACTTAGGTTTTGTAAACTTATAAATTCTGCAATTTAAAAAAAAAAACAACAGCTAAATTTCGTGCCCATTTTTCTGAAATGAAATTGGGATAGATAAAAAAATACTACTACAAAATGCTAAGATTTAAATTTACTGGAATATAAATTATTTATTACTTTCTTTATTTAATTTAGCTACTAGTAAAGAGTAAATAGATACATGATTTCTACATATATTTCCCTAAGAATATTAGAATCCAACATTTTTCTACTGCTGCGTTGTCACTCCGGTTTATTAGATTTGTTAACGGTATTTTTCATCAATACATAAATTAATACTATACAATAATCAACTTACAGATCAAGTTATCAAAAATCATCAAATCATGTACTCTATTATTCATTGATGGATACAAACTTCCTATATTTTATTTATGCAACATAAAACAATATGGCGTTCAAAATTTTACAAAAATTATAAAAGAAAAAACCCCGCGCCTTCCGTGGCATGTCACAATTAAAATAAATTATACGCTCGAGTAATGTAGGCGAGTACTTATTTCTTACGAAATATAAGTACAAAGTAATAGTCGAAAAATTCTGGGCCGTTTAATAAAATTCCCCTTAGATAGGAGAAGTTAGAACAAAAGTATTATGAGTAAGGATTTTTCGCAAAAGTTAAATAGCATATTAGGTATTCAATTTGTTTAATGCGCCCTTAACCTTAGGCGGAGAGGACATGGACTGTTTATGCTAAGTCATCATCTTTTTTGGGTTCCATTTACTGCGGTTATAATATTTTTCCCTAATATTGTTTATTAAATTACACGTAATTTAAAATACACAACAAATCTTGGTAGCAATTATTATATACTGGCTGACTCGATTCTGTTAATAGTTGTCATGATCAGTTTTTATGGTAAAATTAAAAATGATTTTATTACTTTTTTTTCGGGTAAGTTTTTAAGTTATTCTGTTTATTATTATTATTACACGATATCTGACTACACCATCCTAATATAAACAGAACATAGTCAATGAGTACGAGTAATTAAAAAGAGAACGTTCATCTAAATACTTTTTCACACTACTTTTAAAAGATCGTAAGCTATAGAACGAAGACAACACGTCACAGGAAAGGCCATTCCACATTATACACAAGGGCATCATATTTTTAAGTTGGCTAACCAGCTTTTTATTTAGGACCTTACCATATTACCTATTAATTGTCCATTGCTGAACATAGGTCCCACGCTTAGCTTGATAATTGACAACTGCAGTTAGATTTTGGTGATGTTTTAAAAGGAATACTGTTGTCATGCCTCGACTATTAAGCTTCCTTAGTCGCCTCTTACGACATCTACAAGAAAGGAAGTGGTGGTCTATTCTATGCCGGGACTGCAAAGTAATTTATGACCTTATCAAGTATTCTGCTTCTTCTATCGATGTATCACTTAGTCGACTCTTACATCACCTTCAGGATGAAAAGATACATTGTATTCTCAGTCTGTAAAAATATAGTCGAATGAACCTTTTATGCTCTTTTGAAGTCGATTGTAAAGGTTAAAAAATATAGACTCTAATCGAGGGGCATCCTTTTTTTAAACAAGTCTTATCGAAATTAATAGAGCTTTAAAAATTACTTGTATTTTTTTTATATTTCCTATATTATGCATTTGTATTTATAAAAAATATAACGTAGTATATGTGTTCAGAAAAGGTCAATTAAAAATTAAAATACTTCTTTGACATTTGACAGTATAAAGTGACTTCCTTGTTTGCTTATTATAAAACGTCAACGATTTATAATTGTCAATATTTTCCTGTGTTCATATAAATAACAAAAATTTAAAAAAAGATATTATATCACTTACAGATTTTATTGCTTTTTAATTTATAGATGTCTGTCAATGTCACCAGATAATACTTTCAAATGAATACTAGTAAATAGCGTAACCGAATTTACTCATAAATTAATTATCATACACCTACTGATCAATAAAATAAACAAATAAATAGAAATGTGGTTATTTCGTTACGATTAATACCATAGACAATTTTTGTTAAGGTGCAGACATATCATCTTAAACTTTATGAAATATAAATAACAAAATCGAACTTGGACGCGAAAATATTTTCACTCAGCCATAATGGACGTGAATGTTACGGCACATTTTTACGTCAGTTAAAAAGGCAAAGTCATTTGATCAAATTGGATTTATGTTGTTGAAATAAAAGTTAGGCACCTAGCCGTGGAAACGCGAGGGTTTATTAAAACTTTATCCTGAAAACGAAGCGTGGTGATACATTACAAATAATTGAATGCCGAGTGTGTGTGACAGAGCTTATAATTGGACATTCATTTTTTCCTTTGCATATTTTTTCAAAGACATTCTTTATTTTGTTATCATTACATTTCAATCTATTTCTTTTCAGATATAAGTAAACAAAAAAATATTTAATTATACAAAATAATAAATAAATTTATGTTCAGTGAAAGTCTAAATAAGTCAATTATGTACGTAAGTGTTAACAAGAGATAAAAAAAGTCGATACATATCATAGTTAAGTAGAGAAATATATATTCAATTATTATTTAAAAAAAGTGTAATGTGAAATAATTATCCGATGACTGAAGACAAGGACAGTTGCAATGACAGCGATAATAAGAAAGAGAGGGACAAAGAAAAAGAGGAGAACCATTTACAAATGCAAACACAAGTGGTTCCCATGAATTGGTTGTTACTGATTTGTTTAATGTTAGCAAATGTGCAGGCGTTCGGTGCGATCTTTGTAAAATTATATGTAACTTTCGCGGGTTTTTTCACAAAAGTGCATGCTAGGGGTAATTTTAGGTCAATGTTGAAGTTTAATTGTGGAATATGGGTTGTGGCAAGTGTGGTGTTGCTGGCTTCGTGGGTGGATGGGAGCGAGTTTCCGGAGAGGGAGTGCTGCGATCCCATCTATCCTCCAAATACTGCTACAACAGCGGCAGCACCGGTCACTCCACCAATCAACAAAATTTCAGGTAAGTGTAATTCCATAAAATTTTCAAATTAAATTATTAAGTTAAATTAAAGATTATATTTATTATTATTTGATAATTAACTATTCCAATATATAAAATATTTTAATATAATAACTATAGGTTTATGTTATGCGTAGATAGATCGAGAAAGCTCGACTAGTTTCTGGATCAATTCGTGATCCTTAATCATGAGCGGCAGTGACGCGGATGCGTACATGACTGCGCGCCTCAACCCACTGACCTAATTACATGCAAGTTAACCCGATAGTTATTACATTAATATATTAAATATATTTAAGATGGATTACATCCAATGAACGTGCAAATAAAAAATATATGTTTCATAGAAGAAATAAATTTATATATTTACACTTTATTTCACTAGATTAAAAAATAGGAAAACAGTCTAACTTCTAAGCAATTTCATTCACCATTGTTCTGTTGTTTCGTAATTATTTATATTGAGCAGTGACATAATTTCTATTTACATTCCTACAAATAATTAATATGTTAAAATTGCAAGCTTTTCATATTATTGGTATAGAAATTATTACTCAAATCATTACCATTTTACTTTATTCTCGGCTAAATTGCCGGTTTTCTCAAACAACTCGTTCCAAAAACCATTGGGAAAAAGAAAGCTGAGACCCCAACTTATATATATATATATATATATATATATATATATATATATATATATATATATATATATATATATATATATATATATGTGTGCATGTTCGTATGCGTGAGTGAGTATGTGTATGTGCGTGTGCGCATCGTGCTCGAGCGCGTGCGTGCGCGTGCGTGCACGTGCGTGCGCGCGCGTTCGTGTATATATGTGAGTGTGTATTTTTATATATTATATACGTTTCATACCTTTATATGTATGTGTATGTTGGTGATGGTGTGATGCATACTTGGTGAATTTTGTGCGTATTGTATTGTTATTACATTTCGTTATCATTTATTTTAATATTATACTTTTATATTATTATTAATTAAAGTAATATATATGAGTATTAAATGCAGGTAATATTTTTAAGCGTTGATAAAAACTTTAATGCCTACTGTTGCAGTAAGTATTCTGCTTACGGAGATGCATCACCTATTTCACATAAATTGTAATGTTTTTGCAAATAATTGACTGATTGATTACTAAACTCTGAGAAAAAAATATAAGTAGTTAAGACATGGCGTAATTTTATTCTCAAATCACATACACAACTTTTTCCTTCTTTCTCAATCACATTAAGTAAAAGTAGTGATAAACGTCTTTTGGAGAAAGTATTTTCTTTGTAATATTAACATAATTAATATCATGAATTAAATAAATACTACGCTCACTTTCACCAAACGAAGGGAACTTACAAAGCCCATGTCATATAAGAACAATGCAGTTGTTATAAATGTGTAACACAAAGGAATCCTTACATAAGTGGTAATTGGGTCCGTTCCGTTACGCACGAACTGTAATGCGTCTCTCTGAATCGCACTCGGAAGATGTTACGCAAGTTAACACGTTACAACGTAACATGGAACGTTACGTTCATGTGTATGTTCCTTTATTTAGAAATTCAAAACAGTATCCATATAGTGTTACATTATTTTGTATAAAATTACAACTTTATCTAATTTAATCATTTATTATTATCATTTAGTTTATGAAGTGTTTTGTCTTTTTTCAGCTTCTTATTTCAAAAGAGACAAAACATACTTAATAAATTTTATGATTAAAGCCGGTAAGTATTGAAGCATGAATTTTCTTTGTCCTTGGTATCATTATTGAAAAACCGCTTTTAAAAGGAAAACGATGGTTGGTTTGTACAGTTTAAATCTAATTTTATCTATCTGCAGCACGCTTGTGCTACGTCAATTGTCAAACAGTTCGATGCAGTATAGATGAAATTGTGAGGCTGATTTCAAATTGCACGCAAAATGCAAATAATAGATGCAAAAACAATTTAATGTCTCGGTTAAGCCAGTAACAAATATACCAAGTTTGACATTCCGTTCGACGTATTTATGAGTACACTTTAGACTTTACGAAGACGGGATTCTTCGAATGCATTAGTGAAAAAATAAATCAATTGAGAGCATTCAAACTCACACACACACACACACACACACACACACACACACACACACACACACACACACACACACACACACACACACACACACACACGCGCGCGTTCGCGCACACACACACACACACACAAAAGGATTTTCAAGGTACATATTTCGTTACTATTTAGAAATGACACTAAATACAAGAAATAATATTTTAACCATTTTCAGAGCGCTACGTCTTAAATGGTACTCTTATTTCTGTAAAATTTATTATTTACATTCCGTAACATTATGTATTTATGATTTCTATACCTACTTTATTCTGTATTCTTCTTTCACTACCGTACATAAAAACATACTCACTTCTATATTTATAAATAGCGGTTTGCCCGGTACTTTGTACGCTTGGATTTTAAAGGTAGGAAAACCAATGAAGTAGACCACTTAAAGATGACTTATAAGATATTTTTTAATAATTTTAATTTTTAATTTTGACCCTCAACAGGAAATCCATCCTTACACTTTAAAAACAGAATGGTCACGCACAGTGCGCTATCACAGGAGTTATCTCCCGTGAACACCAGGCCGAGGCTTTTCCTACAGCATGGGATTTTTCAAAAAGGGCGTATTAAGGTTTCTTAAGGATGCTATTCCTGAGTTAACAGGCGTCCATAGACTACGGTAATCCTGTTTACTATCAGACGGAATGTATGCTTATTTGCCACCATTCAATTTGGAATTCAATTTGGTGCAATAGTTTTTGCGTGATGCCAGAACAAACAGACAGAGAGGTAGACAAAATTTCTAAAAACAATTTAATTGGCTTCTATTGGTTTTAAGACCTTTTATATAAAATTTTCTTAAATATCTTGTAAAGACACTGTTAAGTTATATTTTATTATATAAGTAAAATTTGTAAGAAGATACCCTTTTTTATGCAACTTAGAATGGCAAACAAGCAGACGACCCACCTGATGGAATGTGGTAACCGTCGCCTATAGACATGAGAATTAAGTATCATGAACACAACAGAGTATACTGTTTCGCCTACAATGCGTCGCCATTCCTGAGGACTCAGGTGTAATTCCTTTGTACTCTATAAATTCAGTGCCATATCCCATCCTTCAAACCGAAACATAGCCATGCAAACACAACTGCTTCAAGGTAGAAACACGAATGGGACAGATATGCTCAAGCAAACGACTTTTGTACAAAGTCTTCCTCTGGTGGTACGCTATATTTGGAAACGTCTATTAATTAACAGATCTTAGTAATCATATAAAATTACAATACTGTGAAACCTAAATTTAATTAAGACCCCAATATTAATTAGGCTTAAGCTTCAAACAATCTCGACCTTCTAGTCCTAGGTCACCGTGTAATACATATTATTGAAGTAAGAAATATAAACTATTGTTCCTACCTTTCTATATAACTTCAAATCTTGACTCTTTTAGGGTAAGCACAGAGATCTGAGTCTCGTAGGCTTTTATAATAATATAAGTATAATTGATATATTTAATGACAAAATAGATATATTTTTAAAATGTAATTTAAAATTTTTAAGTTTGTAAAATAAACCTATGGCTCACTACACGTTTTGGGATACTGTAAGGGAAGTGAGCAATTTATAAAGAAATAAATAAGTGTATATGTACTCGTAATAGTGTGTCACCTACCCATTGTCATTTTTCTTAATGTCCTCTATTTAAAGGTTGTCTGGAAGAGATTGCTTAGCGATAAGGGCTTCTTTTGTAATCACTTCTCATTAAAATTTACTGTGTATATTATTTTTATAAATGGTGTAATAAAGTGTAAAAATAAATAGGTATATAAATAAATAAGTGTCACAGAATTATTCCAGTCGCCTAGTCCTCAAAGTAGGTTAAACTGTATTGTGAGGAACAAAAATCTCGGGTCACAATTCAGAACACTCAAATAGGAGCCAATCCAGAAAGATTCGTTTTCTAAATGGCTCGACCATTTTATGTTTTTCTACCGACTTCAAAAAGAAGGAGGTTTCCATTTCGGTTATATTATTTTTTTAATGTTTATTATTTCATAACTTCGTCAATTGTAAACCGAATTGTAAAATTATTTTTTTAACTGAAAGGATATACTTACAAATTGATCCCATAGAACCATTATCAAAATTGGGTCAGTAATTTAATTTTTAGAGCAAAATAGCTGGTTTAGTCACAATTATCACCAGAAAGAGTCTTTGTACAAAAGTCGATTGCTTAGGTACCTCTGTCCCATTCGTGTTTCAACTGTGAAGCAGTTGTATTTGCATGGCTGTGTTTCGGTTTGAAGGGTGGGATATGGCGAGAATTTACTGGGTACAGAGGAATAACACCTGAGTCCTCAGGAATGGCAACCCATGGGGGGTATCATGGGCGAAACAGTATACTCGTATAAACGTTATATCCATGTTACTGCTCATGTCTATAGGCAACGGTTACCACTTTCCATCAAGTGAGCGGTCAGCTTGTTTGCCATACTAAGTTGTATAAAAAAAAAATACAAGATATTAAAATTTCACCAACTGTTTACTATCTTCAACACCGACAGACTAAACTACTCTACTGCAAAACGTTCAACGTACAATCTCCGTACTAAGATTTTATATATAGATACGGATAATTCAAAGGATATCACAATCTCGATTCCACCAGAAGATAAAGAGGGAATCTCTCGTTTCCATTATCTAGAATTAATTTATTCAAATTAAGTGTGTTTCTCTCTGGCTGCCGTCCTGCCAACTCGACGGCGTCGCGTCCTTTGAATGGATATAGTACAATAAATTTTAATAGAATATTCATCTATATACATACTAAGTTTTACTCACGACTTTGTCTGCGTAATTGAAAAACGTTAATCAATCAGGATAAATAGCCTATGCCCTTCTTCGTCTCAAACAGTATGTG